CAGAAGTAGATAACTATTTCTTCACAATTCATGGATTAATTCTTACTTGTCATAAACCTACTGCATTGTCTATACTATCCTGTTCCTTGGGTTCCTGGAAGATAATATCATAAAGAATATCTCATGTAACATTTTTATTTATCACAGAATTTAGATATATTCTTTAAGACCTGTTATTACATTGTTCTAAAACTCTTTGTAAGCAACTTAAATCTTTTTTGCTATCTCAGCTAAAAATGAAGAGCAGGATTGTCCAAACAGAAAATCTGAATAATTCAGTCCTCTCTTGGGAGAAAACAAAGTTAATCTCACTAGAATCTATATAGTAGCTGAATCACTATAGATTAGTTCTGTAGATTTCCAAGAGCCATGGCATAAAAGAAAATATTTTTAAAATCTTATATAAAACTGACAAAATATAAGTATGTAATATTAAGACAAATGTTTTCATTTTTCACTCAAAGCAAAAGATCAGTATATTAGAAAATGACTTAGCTGTGCATTATTACAGATTTGAGAAAAGAACTCAGACACTGCTTAAACATTTCCATTTTTTCATGGAGTCATTTTTAGTCAACTTTGAATCTATCAATAAAGATAAATCAGTCTTGATTATATGCATTTTATATTTATATCCATATATACAAATAAACCATATATTTGGATCAAATATATACATATGGATCAAATCAAATTCAATAGAACATATATATCAAACCAAGTTAAATAATAATATTTATGGTTCATAGAATAAATTCTTCCTTGGAAAAGTTTCCTCATCATACATGTACATTTCATTTTTAAATAACCAGGATCCAAAGAATATATTACCTATTAAGGATTTATTTTTACTATGATCCCAGATGTATTAGACTCTGATTACTTTATTGATTCCATTCAGTTTAGTTTGATTAACAGTTAATTCAGAACTTATAGGAGGGAAAGCTGACTTTAATCTTCAGGGTAGTATCAGCTTTCAAAGCAATCTATATGCCCTTCAGAGAAAAAAAAAAGTGAAATAAGTAGTAAACCAGATTGATCATTTCATAGACTTGAGGTCCATGTGAAAAGTAAACTTTCTAGAATTCACAAAACAGGTGCTAAAACATGCTTCTTTTTTTCTAATGTTTTTTACTTAAGTACATTTAGTTGGTCTAGAGCATTCAGTGAAATCTCCCAAACTCCTTACTATCTTGTAATGAACTTATTTTATCTGTTTCTGTTACCAATTTCAAATTCCTGTAAGCATTCACAGTGAGAAAATGAGCACTGGCAGAGGCTAAACAGCTGGGCCAAGGCTCCCCAGCTAGCTAGTTAGTTGCACTGAGTCACAGTCAAAATCAAGTATCCTTGTTTTTTGTGAAAGGGACTAATTCCTACCACTATCTCTTCAACCTCTTTTTCAGAATCTAACGCCTGTCTAAAATAAGCAGCATCTCATTTTTTGAGCTCTAAAAACTGAATTGTGGCACAATTTTTTGTGGAACAATTTTTGCTCATATCCCAAATTTCAAAATATCATTAGCAGATTAAGTAAGTATTTGACTACATGCTATTTTGGTGTTTGCACCATTCCCCCACCTGTCTGCTGTCTTTTAGCTGTTGGGAAAGTTGATAAAGGGGGAAGGGAATTTTAAGATTACATCAGAGAAAAAAATGAAGGGTTTGGAGAAGTGACTAAGCATGAGGGATAGTGAAGTTACTGCAGAAACTGACCTGTACAGGACCAACAGAGAATAAAGAAAACATTGCAACAGACGTTCCTGAAGATCAAAGGTAGGCAAGGTTGAGAAATAAAGGCTGCCAGGTCACCAACACTGTTCTCTTAGGGAACGTGCTAGACCTATGTGTGCATGTGACTTGCTAAATCCACCTAGACTTCAGGGAGATTTCCCCTTGGGTTTGTATTGAAAATAAAAAAGTGAAGCTTATTTTGGAAGTCTCCTTTGCACTTCCTGCCATTAAGTTCTATCTTTAAAAACCCCAGGCTGAAAACCAATTTTCTTTTGACACCTTAAACATGATTCTTATTCTCCTGTTAGTTACACTTGAATTCGACACTCTTACCTGCTAAGTACAAGTATCTCTGTGAAAAGGATTGTTTAAACATCCATGAACAGAGAAATTATTAGGTCAAAGAATCGTTGCTGGAGAGTCTCTAATTTCAAAACCAACTCTGATTCTACTTCATTCAGATGGATGCCAATTTCCAAAGCGCTTGGTCTCTTGTACTATTTTTCCTCTAGATTAAGCGGACAAGGAAGTTGCAGTGGGTCTGAGATGGTAGTAGCAACCACCAATAAAACAACACATTTGTGCAAAGTTAAAAAGGAAAGCATCAGGAAAGGCATGCATTCTAAATGGGAAATAGTTATATTGAATTATCTGTGGGGTTTAGGGTAAAATAGCTTTTCTTATCAATTTCTCTACTTACCTATGCAGTTGAGATGTGGACTTTGGCCAATTTAATATTTACAAACAGTATCTTATTTATTTTTAAAATTGAGAAAAGCATCAGTAAGATAAACAGAATGCCCTTAAATTGATAAACTGAGGTTGCTGATTATAAATGTTACAAAAGTTTAAATTTACACAAACCTTATTGATTCTAGGGCTATACCATTTGGATTTTTGGTGGGGGTTCTGCCACTCATTTGCTTCAATTCTGCATCCAAAGCTTGGGAATCACAACAGCATCTACCTCATAAGCTTGCTGTGAGGACTAAGTATTTTGAAGTGCTTAGAGCCAGTTGAGAACTCTGATAATCCTTAGTAGGTAAAATACCACAATTAATATTTCCTTCCTGTCTCTGATAACAGCTAGTTAGCTGTATAAAATGACCTAATAAACCTAATGCATAATTCAAGTTGATATTGAATTTACACATCTATCTCCAGGTAACTTGCTGCCTTGAGGACACAGCCAGTGAAGGCACGATTATTTTACTTAGCTGTCTTGTATAGGCTTCCGTGTTTTAAAATATATTTTCTTGGAAGGAGAACTGAACAGCAGAGTGTGAATGATGTATTACTTCTTGTTATGCTGTGTTTATAAAATGAGAACACAGTTTTACCTTCAACTTCTCTAACATTTTAAAGATATAATTCACATACTATGCAATTTACACTGTCACCAATAAACAATACTGGTGTTTATTGATAGGCTATTAAGTTCTAGGCAATAAACACATGTTGTTTCATTTAATCTTCATAAAAATCCTTTAGATGTTATAATATTCAATCTTATGATTAAACTACAAGTACCTTGGAGCTACAGAATGAAGTCAAGTTCGAGCATATGTTCATCCACATTGGCTTCAACTTTTTTTCCATATCATATTGTCAGACTGAGGGAAAATATGACTCTTTGAGGATATTCATAGTTACAGAAACTTTCTTTTTTTTTTCACCTGCTGGGAAAAAAGTCAAATAAGAAAAGCTGTAAGTTGCTTCCACACTCTAAAGGTTGATATAATAAAGTAAAAGTGTATAAAGTGAAAACAAATAATCATAATGCCAATATACACTTCTACTTGGGGATAGATCAGTACTCTTAAAATCAAACCCATCTTGTCTGAATTCACTCCAATTGAGCTAGACTGGGCATTAAAAATACAGAACAAGAGTGACCAAGCGGGCGGTCTTGTCCACCTTTCAGGCTTCTCATTTCCTTGTTATTTAAGTCACATCACCAGAGTTTCTCATCATGCCTGAAAGTACTTAAAAGTTTTGCCACAATTCAATTATTAAGGATTTATTTAGGTGGTTTTTTTTTTTTTAAAGATTTATTTCTATTGGAAAAGCTGATAGAGAGAAAGATCTGCCCACTGATTCACTCCCCAAGTGGCCGCAATGGCCGAGACGGGCTGATCTGAAGCCAGGAGCTTCTTCCAGGGCTCCCACGTGGGTGCAGGGTCCCAAGGCTTTGGGCCATCCTCTACTGCTTTCCCAGGTCACAAGCAGGGAGCTGGAAGGGAAGTAGAGCAACCTGGACATGAACCGGTGCCCGTACAGGATCCCAGTGCTTGTGAGGATTTATCCACTAGGCTATTGCAACAGGCCCAATTTGGGTATTATTTTCACTTGGTAGTCATTCTTGGGCTAGCAGCTAGGTGTGTAGTTTTTAAAAATTAACCCAATCGTGTGAAGTTCATATTTTTGCCCAGACTTCCACAAGGAGAGGCGGTCAATGAAAGTGCTAGCAATACGGGCTTTGGAACCTGTGTGGACTCGGGATTTGATTTTTTGAGGGAGTAGACCTGCCCACTTGTAACCTAAATTGTTGGCTTCCAATAAAACTGCTTTCACCTGGTGGTACGTAGGCACCACTGGGAAGGGCGCCTAAACCAGTGTTGCTCTCGGCCACCTTGGGGGTGTACCCCTTCTCTGTTTCTCGCATCATTCAGTGAATCTTTCACTCATTCACCGAGGAGCCAAGGCTTGTTTTCAGACGGCAGCTCACTTGCCTTGGGTGTGCCCGAGGAGGCGTCACAAAGAGCCTACCAAAGGTCTCCACCTACAGAAGCAGCGCCGAAAGGAACCTAGGAAGGTCACCGCGGCCAAGCCTTCGCTTTCGGATAGTTCTCGAGCCAATGTTCATCGGGCTTGGGTGGCTTCTGTGAAAAGCCCGGAGCCACCGAGCTGCTCAATTTTCTGCCATATCTTGTCCATCCCCACATCCTCCCGTCCACCCCCACCCTCTAGAGTGACTGAATGCGCCAATAAAGGTTTTTAGGCGACTGTGGGAAAAAGGGGTGGGTAGGTAAAGTCGAAGACGAACTGGGGAGTGGCAGCGCTTCTCTGAGAGCGAGCCGAAGCCCCGCCGAGGGAAGTGAAAACCTGCCTGCGCGCGGCCTGAGGGAGCCGAGGCAAAGCGCCGGGCGGGCGGGACCGACGGGGCGGCGGGGGGGATGGCCGACCTCCGCCGCGCACTCGCCCGCCGCCAGGGCCGCCTCAGGTTCCTACGCGCCCCCCCTCTCCTACGTCTCCTTTGGTTTCGACCTGCCAAGTGGGCGGGGCCGGGGACGCCATTCCCACAATGCTCTGGGGCGTGCCGCCACCGTCGCTGCCGCCTCCGCTACCGCTAGTGGAAGAAGATGGCGGAAGGCGGAGCGGCGGATCTGGACACCCAGCGATCTGACATCGCGACGCTCCTCAAAACCTCGCTCCGGAAAGGGGACACCTGGTGAGGGGAAGGATCTGGAGGGGCCGCGGGTGCGCTAGGGTGGTGGAGACTCGGGCGGGAACCGCGGTCTAGCGTCTTTGGGGAGTGACAGGTGCGGGCAGGTCCGGCGGCGGCCGCCCAGGACAGCAGGATCTGGGGGCAAAGGTTGCACCGGACCCGAGGGCCAGAGTTCGCGGCTTGCTGGGACATGCTGAGAGCCCTGCCGAGGAGGGCGGCGGCTTCGTGCGGGTCGATTCGTCCCCAGCGCTCTCGGGGAGCCGCTCCCACCTCGGGCCTGCCCGAGTGCCGGGTTTCAGTCGTTGGGCGTGAGTCTTACTCGGTGTTGACAGGTCTGGGTCTTCCCTGCAAGCCCCAGTACTTCCCCCAGTCCCTCCTGACCCCGGCTTTGTGGGTACCCTAGTTCCCCATTATTGCGATTCTTGCCGTCTTCCGGGAGAGAAAGCTGCAGGACGTTTGCGGTCTGGATTACACAGGTGGCATGTGCCACGGCTCCACTCGAGAGAAAGAAGCCCGAGTTTTGTCAATTCCTTGTCAAAAAAAAAAAAAAAGGAAGGGGGGGAAAAAAGGAGGGAGAAGGGTAGGGAGCTGTGGGCTTGTGAGGGGGACCACGTGGTCTTGTGCCTCAGCGGAGCCTTGTTGGAAACCGGCAGCTTTTCGGTTACCAGCGCAGCCCTTCCCTCGTACGGGAAGGATAACGTAGGCCTGCGCAAAGTAGATAAGTCCACTTGAAGAACTTGCTTATCGTCAGGCTTGTAACATGCCGAAAAAGGGACGGACTTCTCTGAAAACACCGAGGGAAGTTAGGTGTAGCTTTTACTACTTGTCGACCATGTCAGGTGACAGGCAGAGTCATTTAAAGACATGACTGGGTAACATCAGGTGTTGTTTTTGTGCCACTTTAATTGTAGTAACTTCTTTTTTTTCCCATTCCACCGTCTCCGTGTAAGTGGTGTACCAATTACGGAGTGTTTTCTTGTGTGCAGCAGCGGGGTGACTACCTGGAGGGGAGGGTCGGACTTAGGCGTAAATTCTTTTCCTGGTTGCTTGCTGTATGACTTGGAAGCACAGCTCACCCCATCACACCTCAGTATCTTCACCTGTGGAACGACAAGTGTGGTTTTGCTTGTGTGTTGGGGGGGGGGTGTTGATTCAGTTCAGTTTTCCCACAAGGTCTGATATTTGTGAACTACTTCGTTTTAGGTGCTTGCTTATGTCTCATATACTCGAATGCTGTGATATTGTTCACAGGCAGGTTAACAGGTGACAGGCTTAGGAATTGAATGCAGGTACTTTGATAGAAGCCGTAGTACTTTTTCCCCGCCTATGTTGTGTGAAAAACCCATAACTCTGTAAACGTGGACCGGTTGTGTTGTGCAAAAAAGTTTCTGCTTTTTGTCTAATTTACTGTAAATCACTTAAAGGAAAGAGTAAATATAGGAGGTCCGTGAATTTGAGTCATTTCCTCTGATTTTTTTTTTTAAAAAAGGAAACCGTGAAGAAGATATTTGACCAATGGCAGGATGTTTGAGTTTTTTCCTCTTGTTAACTTTTCTGTTTCACTTAAGGGGGCGAGTCAGGTGCGGATGGAACTGGAGAATTGCAGAAACCAAGTTAGCTTGCACGTGAGGTAGTTGACATGCCAATTACCAGGTGAAATCTGTGAAAAAGAGATTGTAGAACAAATGTTTGAGAGTTTTTTGATGAGAAATTTGATGTTTAGATTTGGTAATGAACTCCCAAGTACTGTACTGGTAGGGATATTGAATAACAGTTGAGTTGTTTCGCTTATATTAAATTTTTAAATTTGTCTTGTGTGAGTCCTTTAGCAAAACTTTTTATTTTATAACTAAAAGCAGCCCATATGCAAATGGAACATTATCCTGGCACATGTGTTTAACCATCTTAGGAAGACTGCTTGGGCTTTTTGAAAGAACAATAATTTCTTGTAAGTTTTAGTACAGATGCCCCAAAATTGTAGTCAAATACACTAAAATGAGTGAGTTTTATTACTTAGCTTTTGAGCACCATCTCATGGTATTCCAGTGACAAACTCAGTACCTTGATTTGAGTTGGGTGAATACTTGATTTTGTTTATTTGTAAGTAGTGAGTGATTTTTACTTACAAACTGATTTTCTTTAAGATTTAATTATTTTTATTGGAAAGAGCAGGACAGAAGGATCTTCCATCCGCTGGTTCACTCCTCAAATGGTCACAATGGCCACCAGAGCTTTAGCTAACCCAAAACCAGGAGCCAGGAGCTTCTAGGTCTTCCACACAGGTGCAGGGACCCAAGGCTTTGGACCATCCTCCCAGGCCATAAGCTTATGGCCTCTCCCAAGCCATAAGCAGGGAGCTGGATGGGAAGTGGAACAGCTGGAACATGAACTGGGCCCACAAACTGGTTTTCTACAGGTAAAATCAGAGATGATGAGAAATGTATTCCAGTACTAGATTTTATAATGAGAGGTAATTCAAAGCAGAAGGGAATTTTATCTTTTAAAAAGGTAAAAAGGGAGTAGCACTGCTCTCACTGCTACTTATTGATATTTGTTGTTGTGTATTCCCATCAGACAGGATTAATTTGAAATTGAGGAACTGTAGAAAAATGATAAACTAGAGTTGCTTAGGTGATGATGAATTCAAGACAGCATTGAGATGGCGATTTCTCTTGATGAGACAAAAAGAAAATTTGCGTAAAGTACTTTACATGTACGTGCTTTAGCAGTCTATAAAGAACAGTAGATAAATGATGGATTTGCAAAGAATGTATGTTGTTGCATGCTATTTTTAAAGATTCTTTTAAATCTATTATGAATCAATAAACAAATATCCACACATCATCAGAGTTATCACTTCATTCTCTCCCATGCTGTGGAAATATTCATCTACCAGTCACTTCTTACACCCTTCCTGGGTAAATATGTTCAGTATTCATGGGCAGCTAACTTACATATTATGTAAAAATTGCATATCATTTTTATCTCAACCTTGAGACCAATAGTAGATTTCAGGAGAGTAAGTTTTGTTTTCTGTTTAGGGTAATTTAAAACATCCATTAGATTTTCATTTCAATAAATTGCTGAAGAATCTAATCAGTGAGATTTTGGACAAGACATTGCTTTCAGTTTTTAGAACTTTGCCTTAAGTTTATGCAACTTCAACAAATAAAATAAGCTTTTAGCCACCAATCAGTTCTGTCAAAGGACACTGGTAGTAGGAATTTTAAACTGAGTATAAATATATATATATTTATACACACACACACACACACACATTTTTATGTTACTATTATTGTTAAATTAGTTTTAATTGTACCAATGTGATTAGGGTCAAAGTAGGATCTATGAAATCAGAAAGAAAAACATCTTGTTATAAATTAGTGAAAATAAGGATAGAAGTAGTGACAGTAATGTGTATTTTTCACATTTGAGTTGCTTGAAAAGTCCAGAAAATGGTTTTTCTTTCTTTAAGCCTTTTCCCTAAGCTTGTTAGCGGATCTAGGAGTAATGTACCATATTTGGGCATAAAGATCCAAAGCTAGTCACTGACTTCTTTCACTTAATGTGTTTAGTGACAATCAGGATTTTTTTTTCCAAGTTACACCATTTTTCCATTAGTAAGGTAATAAATTATTTCTTGTAAAGTGGCTTTGTGACAGTTATTAGTCTTGCTTGCATATAAGGATAACATGAAAAAAATAATTTGTCAGACCACAACTACATTACTACATTAAAAAAACACTGTGTGAGATGAGGAGTTTAGCATGCTATTAAGACACTGCTTGGCAAGCCTGCCTTCCACTTCGGAGTTCACTCCTAATTCCTGCTAATGGGCACCCTGGGCATCGGCATCTGATTGTTCCAGTAGTTGGGTCCCTGCCACCTACATGGGAGACCTACATTGAGTCCCAGCACTGAGACATTTGGGGAGTGAGTCACACAATGGCAAGTCTGACTTGACCTCACAAATTAATAATTATAAAATAAAACCCAGTACACCAGGTATTTTGTAAGTACTTACTAACTTATTGCTCATCTCCACAATTCAGACTAGTGCTGATGTTTGATGAAATCAGAGTCCTAGGTTCCTAGAGGGGTTCACACAGTGAAGCCATGTAGGCGGGGTATTCAGCTCAGATCCCTAAATCAGTACTACATGGCCTGTTATTTATTTATTTATTTTCAAAGATTTATTTATTAATTGGAAAGTCAGATATACAGAGAGGAGGAGAGACAGAGAGGAAGATCTTCCATCCGATGATTCACTCCCCAAGTGAGCGCAATGGCTGATGGTGTGCCAATCCGAAGCCAGGATCCAGGAACTTCTTTCGGGTCTCCCACGCGGGTGCAGGTTCCCAAAGTTCTGGGCTGCCTTCCACTGCTGTCCCAGGCCACAAGCAGGGAGCTGGATGGGAAGCGGGGCTGCCGGGATTAGAACTGGCACCCATATGGGATCCCGGCACGTTCAAGGTGAGGACGTTAGCTGCTAGGCCATGCTGCCGGGCCCATGGCCTGTTATTTTTAATGTAGCTCTATATAGGTGGCGGGGGAATTTTTTTTCTCTTTAAATGGAGTCTTTTATATTTAGCTGCAGATTTCTACCATTTTTATCCTACACTCGTCTCTTGTGTGGATGTAGAATATGTAGAAAATCTTAAGGTCTTGCTTTGGGAAATTAAAACATGTTTAAAGATTGGCATGTGAATAGCTGAATGTATTAAGTGGCATTTTTATCTAAAAGTACATTCAAACTAGGGAATTTAGAATCATTTACTGTTGAGCTTTTGATTTTAATTATGAGTAGTCATAGATGTTACTACAGACACTACTGCTTTAAGATCTTGTAGGATATTTTAACACTTTGTATATATTTTAAAAGCACACATTTTAAAATGTGTACAAGCCACAAGTATGTAAGTTTCCCTTTTTGGACTGTGGACCATTAAGAACAATCTAGGATGATGAAAAACACAAATATTAAGTTTTGTGTTCTGTATCTG